TGTGTGTGTGTGTGTGTGTGTGTGTGTGTGTGTGTGTGTGTGTGTGTCACCCAGAGCGGCCAGACGCTCCCTGAGGTGCATAATATTAACATTAATAAATGTTTTATTTTTTATAGCTCTTCTCAAAACAGTCTTAGAGGGTTTAATGACAGAGGAACGGGACACTAAAGCCAAGAAGATACACTAAACAATCAGATGACAGACGTTAATTGAAACAAGCCCTGATAATAATAACTCATAATGAAGAAGCTTGGGAAGATTTCTCCTGCAATGGAGGCACTCGACACTGTCCTATTTGATTGAACAGAACAAGTTATTGCTATTGCTGCAAATTGTCCACATACATTTTTTTCCTTGTCTATATTAATGGAATACTCAAGTTCCCATATGTACAGTATATTGAGTGCTTTATTGCTCAATGTAATCCCTATTGTTTCAAATGTAGGCGGGTGAGTTTTGTTTTAAGATCAGTTGAAAGGCTAGATTGATGAATGGATGGATGAATGGCTTCACCCTTTTGCTCCTGCACTTTACAGTTCAAACGATCGGGCGATCAGTCAAACAAAAAAAAATAATTGGCGACAATTCTGATAAACAATTAATTGTTTAAGTCAAGTATCGAGCAAAAAATGCCAAACATTTGGTGTTTCCAGCTCTTCAAATGCGACATTTTGCTGCTTTTCTCTATTCTATGCCGTCGTAAATTGTGTTCGGGTTTTGGACTGCTGGTCGGACTAAACAAGTATTTTAAAGACGTCGCCCACGCTTTCATTTGACCCTCCCAGCCTGATAAATGCCAACATGTTTCAATGTCCGTGCCTGCTCTTTGTAAACGCAGACTCTCTGTTTAACAGCCCAACCCTGAGATTACGCAAATTATGTCATTTTGTTTTCTCAGACTTGCCAAAGAATACATAACACAACTGTTTTCAGAGGCTGAATAATGACCCACGTACTTACCGGAGATCTCCGTGGCATATACACTTGAGCAAACAATAGTTTTTGTACATTAACCAGCCTCAGGTACCTAGAATTACTGAAATATGTTATAAAATCTCAGTTTTTATCATCAGTGAAGTCCTATCATGAATCAAGTTTTCCTTCCTGTGTAAACCATATAAACTTCCTGAAGCCAGATCTTATGAAAATACCTTGTACCAGGCAAATTTAAAGGATCCTATCTTTTTTAAATTCTCAATAAATCCAATGAAAAGACCAAAAACAACAGTACTTAAGTCTGTCCCTTAATGCTTTCAGCTTGTCTCACTCAGCACACAGTCTCTGTTCCTAATCATGACGTACATTTTCTCATGAGTTGTTGTTTTTTGTAAAGCCTTACAAAAAAACACGAAACAGCTGGTCGCTGTAGTTTTTTAGCAAATACTACTTACCAGCAGTAAAGATTGCATTTCAGAGACTATTTTGAGCAAGGGATTAATTCACATTAGCGAGCATTTAAGGCAACAGGACGGTGCATGCAGAGTTGACTCATAATAAACTGTAGCTGTGTTCGTTGCAGTAGTAAACAGTGAAGTGAAGTTAGGTGATGTGATTTTAAACGGCAGCTCTATGGAATAAAATCAACTTTTCCTTCAATATCTGTTCAACAAGCCTCGTCGTTTTAAGAGTATTTCATGATGAGTCGGCATTAGATCTGCTGTAAGTTTTCATTTCCTCGCAATGAAAAAGTCGAGTTGCCTGTGACGTACAGTATCCTGACAGATAGAGCTACTGTGTGTTCAAAGTGACCAAACTCCCATAAAGTCAGTGCGCTGTCTGTATTGTAATGACGAAGTGGAGAGAACGAGCTCGAGGTCGCTGAGCTCACTTTTTAATGTAAGTAGAATTTAATTGGACTGGGCCTGAGGGACATTTGCTTTTCGTGTCTTGTCTCCAGAACACGTCAACATTCACACTGGAGAGAGATGAAGTGGGCGAGGTCGTGATGGAAGACGGGCGCAGTCGCTGCCCCTTTAATCCAGACTATAAATCCACTGCCATCATCGTTGGTATGTAAAATATTTTTTTGTCTAATCTCTTAACTCAGTCTGCTCTCATTTCACTCTAAACTGTAACTTCATCTGTTATGAAAGCTCCCTGTACACCATTTCTTTGTACTTTATTTTTAATTAATAGAAAATCAAGTTCTTAATTGTAAATCTTGCAATTGTTTTCTTCCAGATGGTGAATTGTACACTGGTACTGTCAGCAACTTTCAAGGGAATGAGCCAGTCATTTACAAGAGTTTGGGTCAGGGAACTGCTCTGAAGACGGAGAACTCTTTAAAATGGCTGCAAGGTAAGCTTCATCAGATGGCAGACAGTTTTTTCTTTTTTTTTTTTTTTTTCCCCCTCTATTCATCTTCCATTATGTACCAAACGGAGCAGATTAGCTCCGGAAAGTAGCGATCATTAGCGAGGCACAGTCGCTAATGCAGCAGACCAAGAGCAAAGACAAGCCCTCTTAGATTGCAGGAGTGTGGTCATATCAGTCGCTGCATATGCACTTCAAAACAGCCAAAGTGAACTCTGTCTGACAAAAGTAATGCAAAACAATGCTTTCCCTTGCGCAGATGATAAAGGTGTCTCTCCAACCCACCATGTTTTCTTTGTGTTTTTCTATTATTTTTTTTAACAGATCCAGTCTTTGTCGGGTCAGCTTACATCGAGGAGAGTCAGCCAATAGGAAACCCTGTGGGAGACGACGACAAGATTTACTTCTTCTTTAGCGAGGCAGGAAAAGAATTTGACTTCTTTGACAACACCATTGTGTCGAGGATTGCTCGCGTGTGTAAGGTAAGACACCTGCGGTTGGGTTGTGGTCATTATACAAGATGGCCATGCAGAAATAAGAGGCACAGCGGCGCCTCAAGCTTCCCCTCCTTAATCCTGATACAATTGCCTTAAAACAAGGCGGGACGCTCCCGTGTCAAAGCACGTTTGGTCACATTTAACTGTACGTCATGCTTGTGTAGATGCAATGGAAATATGTCACTGGTGCGGTAAAGCTTTTTCTATTTGACTCTGCAAACATGTTTTCAACAGATTTGGTTTCCCCTTGCCTGAATCATCTGCTCCTACTCACCACGCCCCCATCCCTTTTTCTCTGCAATGTCATCGCTCCCCCTCTCCCTCCATCTCCCTCACAATGTCAGCTGCACTCGTCCATCCCTCCAGCTCTTTGCCTTTCTCCACCAGCGCCTTGAGCTTTGCAGGCATTATTAGTATTCAAGCATTGCTTCGCAGCAATATGAAATGCTTTTTTCCATTCTACTCTATGGCCCGTATGTGTTGCAGGCAAAGCATGCAAACTGTAGCGACTGCAGAATTTACTCGCATCATTTAAACTGCTGACGTCGTTCCCCTCCTTCTCCTTCTCCTCCTCTTCCGAGAGTTTAGTTTGGTCGATCACCCTGAATAATCAACGGCTGACTTCATCCCTTTTCACCTGTAATCAGATCAATTAAACGGCTGCCTGATATACATGCACTTAGTATCCCTCCCTGACTGATGTCTCTTGTTCATGGAGGCAGTAATGTGAGTAATCGTGAGGACAGCATGTAATCTTAAGTGACAGCTTAATGACTTAGTCCTGCTAGGCTCTGGCACTCGTTGCTGCGACACCTCTCGCAGCCGGCGGAGCACCTCCTGGGTTCTATATATGGAAGTCATTGACGGAAAGGCCCCCAGACTGTGGCAACTTGCTGCAGATGAACTGTGCAATAGAGACAGAAGAATGGCTTTCTCTGCTCTATAAAGCGCCTTTATACCTCTGGAATGCAGCAGCCCTCGTTTTCCCGACTGACATCTTTTCAGATGCTTTTCTGTGGCAGTACAGTAGTGATGCAGGTGGTTTGCTCCCTAATTTACTGGGGAAATGCTTTCAGAAATCAATGTATTGAGATGAATGCATAGGAAATTCACATATTGACCAGCAATTTTGTGCAAAAGTGGGCCAACACATGAGGGACAACAACCTCATATATTGCCCCTCTCATCGATAGATTCATCTGATGCACAAAGCTGTGTAGGTTCTCAAGTAGGACTCATTTTCCATGAATTCTGGGTAAATTGTGACTCTAAAAAACAGACGTCAATGATTGTTGCCATGGAAACATCAGAGATAGCTCAGGGGTAAGGTTGCTAACGTAATAAATCAGTTTTTATTCTTATGAAACTTGCATTATACTGACAGCATGCGCTGCCTCTCAGGCAAAATTAAGACAAATATGCCCCATCCCAGAACTACAGTTCCCATAATGCTTTTGGGGGATGTTGACAGAAAGTATAATGTTGCCAAGCATTCAGTAAGTTACGCTGTGGGCTACAACTTGAACCCCATGTTCATAAGCTTACATTTGTTTACATTTTGTCAAATTGGTACCATTAAATTATGCCAAATTAGCTGTCAGCTGTTTCTGTTTGCAATATGCTCCTGGATGTACAGAAAACTATCACTGGATTACTTTAATAACTAAGAATGTTTGTGTGATAGAGATCATCAGAATGTGCAACTCACCCAATCTACAAATATGTGTATCATGTCTGTGTATTTAGATTTGATGGAGTTATGACTCAAAGAAGGAGACACAAACTGCTGCAATCGGGCTCTGAGGGTTTTAAAGTACCATAATTGCCACCATGAGCTGTGTGCTGCCGCCGCCACCACCACCACTGCTGCGGCCGGTGATCTTGTTTGTGAGCGAGCCAAACTACAATAACTAACTTCCTGTTGTTTTCACCGGCCTTCAGAGAGCAGAAAGTGCTGAACTCAGATTAGAGTTTAGGTAACAGCGAGGTATGAAGGCCTCTCCCCGTTAGTGGTTTAGTATCTATAACGCACTCGTGCAGACTGACATGTACATCATGTACTCCCTTTTCTCTCTGTGTACCAGGCCAAGGCCAAATATGTTTGGATGTGCTTTCATTTTGATATCTGAAATATTTTGTGCGTGTTGGCTGATCTTGCCAGACATTTTGCTACCTTTTTTAAAGAAGACAAGTTTCTTGTAAATCCAAGCCTTTTTCATGCAGGTCTAACTACTGTTTAACTTGGGTTTGCCAAGTAATTCTGCTTCCAAAGTAGTTTTTTCTCCCCCTTTTTCCTATCCGTCCCCCTCCTTTCTTCGCCTCCCTCTTTTCTTTTGTTTATTCAGGTGTGCACACTGAGGGACTGGGGAAAGCAGGCAGATTCTGAACATTGTGTGGCACCGTTTTCCTTGCTTCTTGTTCGTCTACTTCAGGTTGACAAACATGAGGAATCTGAAATGTGAAGTTCAGATAGAATGTGAGAGAGCGATGTAATACAGCACAAAAGAAGGAGTATATTATTGGAGGGCAGCTTTCAAGGGGGTTGGTCGATGCTATTGAGAGTACAAGCTGCACAGCAACAATGGCGATGGAACAGCTGAGAGAGCAGAGAATGTGGTCTCCTCATTATGTGGACAGGCTACTACCACAGTCTAGTAATTGGCTCCCAGGCCGTGCATCTGTCCCACGACGTTTCACCTCACCGTCGTTGAGCAACATGATTGTTTGCGTGTAACAGCACACAGAGGAGGGAACGGGGGTAGTTCTAGTTTTGCGTTTTATCATCTCCTCAAGGGTGATTCACTCCTTGTGCTGTTATGTAGGAGTTGTTATAGGTTTCAGAGGCCGTGCTGATGGGATAGTTTGGGTTCTAGGAAGGAAAACTGTCTTGAGATTGGGCGAGACCACTTGTTGTGGTTGTGTTCTTCCTCCTCCTGCTCCTCCTGTGCGTTCCAGCTTGCTTGCTGTATTTTGGAGGAGTTTCTCTTGGTGTTTACAATCTCTTAGATAATTGCTAGTCCTTGCAAAGTTGTCTGATAACTGTTTATGTGAATATTTAGTGACGGCCTTGAAAGGAGGGAATTCATCTTGTGTGTCTCGGAGGAGAAGCGAACCACGAATGCCGGTTTCAAAGCTGTAGTTAATAAATAGCCATTCTGTTTATTTTCCATTTCACCATCTCCTCTCCTTCAAAGAGCAACATGTATCGTTTTATGTGAACTTTTTTTGTTACCCGCATTTTATTGTCAAAAATGTCCTTTGTATTTTAGTTTAAAGGCGCCACACATATGCTGCACCAAAGGGAAGGATTTAAATACTTGGATTTGCATCACAACATTAAAATCGTAGTTGGTTGTGATTAGTTGTCACAACCCTAAAAAAAAAAGCATCATAACTGTCACAGTAACGACTTTCAGATTCCCTTACCCCAACAGCATCCTCTAAAGCAGAGAGAAGGGATTGCAGCTGCAGGTCTTTTCTTACAACGGCTGATATATTGTAGAATAAAGTCCCCCTCCACTTTAAAGATGTATTTTGCTTATTGTTACTCATCTTGGATGTTCACTGTGCATAATGAAATGCGAGTTAGATTTCTGCTGGAGGAGGAACGTTTCTCTGTGCTCACCTCAGATCTGAGTTAAACTCGTGTGCGTATGCAACTTGAAGCCTCCAGTGCACACACACAGAGAGGAAGTAGCAGACATCTTGTGTTCAGCAATTCTGAAATGAGAAACTATTTGCATATTAATTGAGACTGATGTTTTTGTAGTGTGTTCTCATTTGTAGAGCATTTATAAATAACCTAAACATGCCTGGAGGGGATCTTTAAGTGAATATATATATATAGTCTGCTCCAATGAGACGTCGCTGCAACAGTAAGAGAAATTAAGGGCGGACTTTAAAATCTTCATAAGCCGGGTGTTGTGTTCTGGTCTACTTGCTTCACCTTGTAAATGACATGTTCTGTTCTTCTTATCAGGATGACTGTAAACTGTTAATAAATGATAGTTTAATGAGTCCTCTGTTACATAATACAACACACTTTGTTTGCAGGGTGATAAAGGCGGCGAACGGGTGCTGCAGAAGAAATGGACGACCTTCCTTAAGGCCCAGCTCCTGTGTTCCCTCCCTGATGACGGCTTCCCCTTCAACATCATCCAGGACATGTTTGTCCTGAAGCCCATGGGAGACAGCTGGGAGAGCACCGTCTTCTACGGCGTCTTCACCTCCCAGTGGTAAGAAACGAAGGGAGGGGTTTGTTCTGATCGCTTTAATGGTGACATAGAGGCACTTGGATGAATCTGATTTATGGCGCTGGTTCAATTTGTGTTTGTGCATGTTTATGCACAAACACACGGGCCCTTTAATCAACACAGCTCACACACACCATCTTGAGACGGTTTTTATTTAATATCTGCACTCAAACTTGGCAAGTTGCCTTTTTCTTTCTTGGCTCCTCTGAATTTAGAGCAGCTGTAATGAGCTTAAACACTAACACAAGCTCATGCAACCCCAATGTCTAATTAATGTTTCAACAAAATAAAGGTTTTAATATGGAGATCATTCACGCGCCCACTCAACAACTGTTCTTCCGTTAGAAGTTGCTGCTCCAGTTTTCCTGAAGAAAATGACAGCTGCAGAAAGGATGTATCGAGTAAAATAATGGCAACATGCAATCGGACACGGGGATCTTGAATTTTGTATGCGTTCACAGGTATAAAGGAGCGTCGGGCAGCTCAGCGGTTTGCGCTTTCACCATGGCACAGGTGGAAAGAGCCTTCAGCGGGCGCTACCGAGAGGTCAACCGGGAGACACAGCAGTGGTACACGTACAACCACCCTGTGCCAGAACCACGGCCCGGAGCGGTGAGTGGAGCAGGAAACCACACAATTCAACTTATTTTGCTTCACTCTGTGCATCTGTTCATTCAAGTATTTGTCTCTGAAAAGAACATTCCTGTTATTTTCTTCTGTTTTGTGATCACACGAACAAACAATGTATATTACAGTCTCCAACAAAACATTTCCACTTGTAACCCTAAACTGATTTTTTTCCCCCGTGCTGTTCAACAAGTGAGCTTGATGTAAAGCAGATGTTCTCCTTTTATTTTCCAAAAGTACTGTCTTGATAAAGTTCTGCTTAACTCTTCCCTGGAGCAAAACAAATGCATAAAAGCTTAAAACTAGTCGTGATAACTACTAGTTTTAACATGGTTAAAAATGTCTATACCAGCCAGGTCTGCTATTGTACATAACCCTAAACTTAATTCACTTTATAAATAAAGAAAGGGTACATACAGGTCAATACAATATCCTGTCTCCTTGTACGTTTGTACTTCCAGGTCTACTTGAATAAGCAGAGATTCATTTCTAATTTACTCCCCGCAGTGTGTGACCAACCACGCCAGGCAAATGGGTATCCAGTCGTCCTTGCACATGCCTGATAAAGTGCTCAACTTTGTCAAGGATCATTACCTGATGGACAGCGTGATCCGCAGCACTCCCCTGCTGTTGAAACGCAGCGTGCGCTACACACAGATCACCGTGCACAAGATCCAAGGCATGGAGAGGGCCTACGACGTGCTCTTCATCGGAACAGGTACAGCTCATTACACAGCAGCAAGTTATTTAATATGTGGGTCTTTCCATCAATCTTTAAAAGGAAAAATAATGTTACAAAAGGATACTCTCACTTTTGTCAAACATAAAGTAGGCTTCTGTCGTTTTAAAACCCTAGATGATGCTTTTATCCCCCACAAACTGTCCCCTGCCTTCAGTATAAGTCACTTCCACTTGTCCCCTGTGTCTTCCAGATGACGGAAAGCTCCATAAGGCCATCAATGTCAACGATAAGATGCACATCATCGAGGAGATGATTCTGTTTCCTGAGCCTCAGCCAGTGCAACACATCGAACTTGATCCTCAGAGGGTAAATCACAACTCTTTCATTTCAATACACACCCATAACCATTATTGTCACACGGTTTTGTGTAAGCTCATATTTGAATGTCCTGTTTACTGTTTTCATACTCATTTTCAAGTAGTAAAAATATGGAGGAGCTAGATTCCCCGGTGAACAGACATTTTCTTTCCAGTGGGGCCGTTCTGTTTTGAGTTTTCCTTTAAGTTATGTCACCGTCTGGAAGACTGTTTCTGATCCTCTCTGGCATTTTCCCCAGAGCTGAATTTCATTACCTGTCCCTCTTTATTACATAATGGCCTCTCCCCGGGCCAAAGCAGCCAAACTGCAATCTAAGATTATGTAATTCTAATAAAGTCCAAGATACTTTTTTTGTGAATATTCTCAGCTCCAAATAGGGATATGAAAGACAGACATAATCCACATGATGTCTATCTAATATAGGGGTAGATGGCCTAAATATAGCCTGCACTTTTTGGAACACAGGGGTGTGCTGTACGTCAGCATCAACGTCACGTTCATGGTGAACATGCATTTCTGGATGAAAGTTATTCTACACACTGATGCATACTGTCTGAAAAGTGATGCAAAATAATGAATATAAATGGAGACAATGCTGTGTAGCAACCACTTTTTGTTGTAGCCATGTGTTTATGACCACAATCAAATGACTTGGCTCATGGCATCAAGTAAAAGAACAGCCAGCCAGAGTTTTAACTTTGTTTAGGTTGTATTCCTCTGTTTGTCTTCAGTAATTGTCTTGGCATGGTTTTCCTTTCTGAATCAGAAACAAGTAACCAAAAGCAGAAGTTCTGTTTGGCACTTTAACCTTTTTGATGAGAACTTTGTATCGCGCAGACTCTCACACATTTCTTTCTCTTCTGCAGGGTCTGTTGTTTGTGTCATCCAACTCTGGGCTGGTGGAGGTTCCTGTGGCTAACTGCTCTAACTACCTCAGTTGTGGAGAGTGTGTGTTGTCCAGAGACCCATACTGCGCCTGGACCGGACGTCTGTGTCGGGACGTCAGGATGGCTCCGCCTGACAGGTGAGAGATCACACAGCCACCAAATCTCTAACCTATTCCCAATCTTTCACTTTTCCTTTGTTCATCTGCCTTCGCTCACAGGCTGCATTTGTTCATTTAGCCACCTTGATAGATTAGTTTGTTTATTTACCTTCTTTAATAGTCTAATTTATAGTAATAAATGTGTTTTGTTGTTAGATGTAGGGTTCCAACGGTCCCTGGGTATACCGCCGTATTAAAATTATCGTCGTACGTTGAAAATCTCATACCATTACAACTAGTTGGATGTAAACATGCACCCAAAAACAAACTCACAAATAAGCATGCAAAGCTCCTCATCACATGCTTGAACAGAAGCTTTTAAAAGAAGATTGTCCTCTTAGTCACAGTGTGATGAAGCTATACTCATAGGTGCTACAATGACAGACCTCGGGAGAGTCAAATGAGTGCATCCCATCCAAGGTTCCTCTCATTACAGCTGCTTTCCCTCACCCTGTTGTTTTGTTTGGTACGCTTTGTCTCAGTCACTGGCAGCAGGATGTGGAGGAGGCCGATACAACAGCGATTTGTAACAGGACGTTTCCCAGCACCAGATCTGCCAGACCAGCGGCTTCTCGTGAGTGTGTTCTCTTTGTATAGCGGTCTGTAATTAAAGTGTTGTCACCTGACCGACACAACAGCAGCCTGCACATAGAGCAGTCGGTGAAGAATCAATCGCATGTTGTTGCAGATTTATATGACGGCGGTTAAAAGCGAGCAGTTCTGTATGTAAGAATTCATGTAAATTATAGTTCGATTTCAAAATTGTATTATATGCAGTGATGTAGTTACTGTACATGCACTTATAAATGACTTATCCACCAACTCTTTTAAAGGACTTGCTTTTTTGGCAGATGTGAGAGTCTTACTCCTTATGCAATTAGTAAAATATTTCTTAAACTGACTCTTTGGAGCAACATTGTTTTGTTTTTTGTTTTTATATGTAGGTGTCTCCCAATGCAAGCTCATTATAATCCCAGTCAACACGTTCAGAGTCCTGCCTTGTAAACTGCGGTCCAACCTAGCACAGAGAAGGTGGCGTTACAGTGACAACGCCAGCCAGTTCCTCTACGCTACACCAGAGGGAAACCTGGTAGTGGTGGCGCAAGCCGACAGGACGGAGACCTACGAGTGCTGGTCAGAAGAGGAGGGTTTCCGCCAGCTGTTAGCCAACTACTGTGTGAAGGCGGAGCCACGGCAGGAAAGCACCACTCTGATTGGCCACTCACGCACACCGCACATTGAGCAGGAGGAGAGCATCGTCCTGCCCGGCGAGTCTCGTTCTGAGCAGCTCCACACCAAGACGTACTGGAACGAACTGATTGTGGTGTGCGCCCTGCTGGCGTTCTCCCTGGTGGTGTTCTCCTTGTTCGTCATCTACAGGAACCGAGATCATATGAAGTCCATGCTGAAGCAGGGCGAGTGCCCCAACATGCAGCAGAAGAAGCCAAGGATTGTGGGAAAGCCCGCTGAGAGCTTGCCCCTAAACGGTAACACCATCCCCGTATCCACTTCTGATCACAAGGGCTACCAAACGCTAAATGACAACTACATCTGCAGCACGCCCACCCACGAGTCCTCGCCGGACAACAGCAAGAGCTTCTCCGAGTCCTCCGACAGGCGGCCGCTTAACGTGAAGGAGAGCCACGTGGAATACTCCCCAACCTGCCCTCGGCCCAGAGTGAGGCTAGGCTCAGAGATCAAAGACTCTATTGTTTGAGAGCACAGTATTCGCTAAAAAGATGCCACCCTGTATCTCCATGAAGGATACAGGCCAGCGAGCAAAGGAGAGGAGACCCTGACATCCCTCTACATCGCAGCACATCTTTTGTTTTCGTCATCTTTTGTTCTGTGATTAGTGCAGAGGTCATTTACATCGTTTAATCATTCCCACTCCGAAGCCAGAGGGTTGGTCTGGTTTGCTGCATAGGGCAGGAAGAGGAAGCAGCGCAACACTTCGGTTTCAAACCGGGATCAGCAACCATGGCAGCAGCTCAGAATAGTCATAACAGCCTTCGTTTAAGTCATCCTCACGGCCACTAATGTGTGTGTGAGCGTAGGGCTGGGCAATATGAGGAAGAGGGAAGAAAACCCACAATAAACAGAAGATTCTTCCTTTATCAATATTCATCACAGTATCTCTTTAGGAATGCAAGATCCAACGTTAAAATAACCAGTTCATTTCTATCACATGATATAATAAAAACAATAAATTATGAATATTGATAGGTTTGCCAGTCCCATTTGAGCCTGTGTAACCTTCCACATGCTCTGCAGAAGATGGATGCCACAGAGGCGACACTTTTTTTTTTTTTTTTTTTTTATATGCACCAGAACCAAGCCAGAGTTGCATGGTGACCTATAGAGTTCAGGTTCATGAAAATCGAATACATGCATTGCATATTCATTATGATCCACACATTATGGAGGCAGGTCAGAATCACGTTTGTTCCCTTTTGCTGAATAAATGTCATGACTGTATGAGGATAAAGCTGCTGAAAGATGAGACTGAGGAACGAGAATTAAAAGGACTGAAGGGAAAATTATCAAAAGATGTGATCGTAATATGCTCCAGGACCTAAACACTGATATTTACCTCCTGAATGTATATTGTCGTTCACACAACACTGCACCACGGACAATTTCTGGAACCCGTTGCTCCACATCTGTGCTCATCTGAGACAGCCCCGTTCTTCAGTATTAACCTGCAGGAACCATGATAAGGAAACATTGTTGACTCTGTCTTTGAGCCGAATATGGAAAAGAGACCTCGGATTATGTCAAGTCATGGTGGACATTTACAAGCACAGAGAGGCCAAGAAAAAAAAAAAAGGGGACGTCCACTCCTCTCCCATCATCAGGCCAGCACAGAAATAATCATGTGCACTGTGCCAAAACACAAAAAAAAAACTTGATTGTCTTATCTAAATGCAATAGTGCCATTCTGGTATGACCACTCCCATGCTTATAGCATTGATCACTGTCAAAGAGCACATGGTGACGGGCCCAGAGGTGGGTTTCACGAAGGTAAAATGGCACTACTAATGACAAACAAATGTGAAGTGCAAAGTTGGACATTTCTCTTCAGACTGTTGGCTCATAACAAAGACTGTGTTTCACACTTTCAAATGATATGGCATGGAGATTACTTCATGTGAAAACTTGTCTTGTGATTGTCGGGTGAGAAAATATTCCAGTTTCCCTTCAGCCACTCTTAAAGGAGTCTAATACCGTCTTAGTATACACTGAAACAAACGGGCACAACCAGTTTGAAACTATTGAGTTTGATGAGCGCTAACAAAACAAACTATTTGGTTCATTTAAGTGCTAACAAGTCAACAAATCACAGAACCATAAAAACTGTCACTGTAGTGGAGAGATGGTATTTCCTATTCTCTTATCCAGACTGCACTACGTAGTGATGTAGTTGCAGAGCGCTGTATCAGCTCGATATAACCCTCCTCCACCAGGTTGCATTTCTTACATGCATTGAGTTCCCCACACTCACTCAAGATGTCATTGCGACGTTAATGTGAAAGCACAAGTAATCAGGGTCTTGAATACTCACAGGTTTGCACGTCTGTAAAATCAGCTCGTACTCTTAAGAAATGCAACTACTGAGAGACAGAAGACGTGGCTGCTGAGGAGAATTATTTTTTAGAACACTGTTATTACAGGGACCAGCGCAGCCATTACGAACACACACACACCTGCACCCACATTGCTTCAACTTTTGAGACTTAACGAGCAGAAATTCCCAAAGATGTAGGAAGCTGACGGTGTCGTGTAAATCGGAATGAGAAACATTTACACAGCCATAGGGACGATATGGCGCCACATGTCTTAGAATACATCACCAACTCACTGTATTAAACAAGTAAGCCTACAGTATACAGTATATTCCAGTATCCTACAGAATAAACATTTTGCTAATTCCAACACTGAGCAGATGACGTAATGCTATGTAACTGCTACAAGTTGACAAAGTGCACTGCGCGACAGTGGTCAGTTTCCTTTTTTTTTTCTTTTTTTTTTTTGTGTGTATATACAGTATCTGTGCTTAATATTGTGTGTTTTTTTTGTTTATTTTTCAAGGGACCTTGTGCAAGATGTGTTGTAGAGATAGCCTTGAAACTAGAGAGTGAACACTGCTGATATTTTGTTTTCATAGTGCTTTACTGCCTACTTCAGCATACATTTCAAAATATTGCAGAGAGTACTGCACATGTCTCACCATGCTGTCAGTTCAGCACCTGGACTGGTTTTTATCAAGCATGTCCAAGCAGGAGGGGGATCTTGTTTTTTTCATGTCAAACTGAATTACAGGGGTGGTTTGATCTTGTAGGAAATATGCTTATTCATTTTCTAAGAGTTAAATGAGAAAAGTGATGCCACTTATGACTGCACACTTAATTTGAAGCTACCACCAGCAGCAGCTGGCGAGATTCGCCTGAAGACTTCTCATGTTGCTAGTCTTTGTGCTAAGCTAAGCGGTTATTCACCATACAGACGGCGTTTGGTGTCGATCTTCTCATCTAACACAAATAAGTGTATATCCCAAAAGGTCTACCTATTCCTTTAACTTTGTTTGCTGAGACTAACCAAATAAGAGTAAAAGCTTTGGTGCAAAGCATTGTTTGCCACCACTGCTGAGACAGACTTTCTAAACTATAAAATGTCTCTCTGGAGGCTGAGACCCCTGCTTCAGATGCTTGGTGGATAACCTCACATCGTTTCAAAATGCCTTTAGGTGTCAAGTTGTTCTGCCTTTAGCCACGTGCCACATCGTACACTACCCAACAGTGATGTGGTGAATGGCGTGATTGTAGCCCTCCATGGGCACACTAAACTCCACGGGTCAACAGTAGATTTACAGATTCACCCAAGCCACCATTGACTTAAACCTGCAAACAGTAAGACTGGGAGCTGCTCAAAATCATGTACCATTCTGCAGTTTTTGCTTGTGTCAGAAGGGATACTGTGCATGTAAGAAACGTCTTTCTGAAGAGGTCAATATTTAAGAATATTTGTAGTAAATCAGAAGTTTCAATACCATCTGACCTTTATAGTTAACGATGCCAAAAAGTACATCCTAAATACTATAAATGCATATTTATTAATGACGTGCTTTTCCTTTAACAGCAAACATTACCATTGTGATTGATGCTTCATTTTGAGTGGCTTCTCAGTAATGCAACATACTGTACTGGACATGAATGTAGCCAACTGTTGCATATTTTGTAGAACATCTACCGCAGTCTATTTTCCTAAAATGGCTTAAGTAGGTAATCCATTGCAACATCTTTTTAGGACTTTGTTCAAACGTACTACAAATAAATGACACCATAGACTATAATTAATCGTTTGTGCTGCACAATGTAGTGCTGCCGTAAGATGCAAGCACAGCTCCAAAATCCTCCATGTCGGCTCAGCCATGAGACGCACCGACGGCGTCAAATACCGAACACCATCAGCTTAGTTGACTGAATAACTATTAGACAAATGTGGTCTTGCCTGCATGATTTCCTTTTTTTTAATTGTTGTGTACAAATAACATTGTGAACTGTATTTTTTGTATCATTGAGATTGTGACTGTTGTTTTTATTATATTGTACATAAAAAGCACTTTATTTTAATTTTTTAAGATAAATGAATAAAATACATGTTTTGACACATGCATGCGAGTCTATTTTATGCTGTTATTTGCTTTAGTCCTGGAAGCTTGTATAGAAGGCATGTCTGAGGGCGAGAAAGTGAAAAGGGATAAATTATAGTTCTTTAGGACGACCTGACCAGGGATCTCATTTATAAAACAGTGCGTAGGATCCCCACTAAATGTTTGCGTGTGTTCAAAAGAGGAAATGCTCGTACGCCAAAACATATCCAGATATTTAAAACCTTGCCTACGAGCTATATCCCCAATCAACCAAGGCAGAAATTGATAAAATCATACAAGTGGATATCCCTAGATCCACTACTATTTCTGCTAAGCTCAGGTTTTGACAGGTGAACACGATTTGCTTAATTTATTTTGGACAGTTTAAACACAGAAGAATTGTGATAATGATCTCGACTAATTTGGTTGGCATTCATGTCTGCTGTTGAAAAGGGCAGGTGAGACCAGCATGAAGAGCTGTACAGAAAGCAAGCATTATTATTCTTGTTTCCCTTTGCAGGTGTGTTTCCCAAATCAAGCTGATCACATCAAATATTAGTGGACAAATATAAAACTGAAAGCAAATAAGGCCATAAAACATAAATGGGGTTTAATTATGTGTTGCTGCATAAAGAAATGATAGATGCACCTACTTACATCCAGACATCACTGACGGTCTGTCTATCCAATTTACAATATTTTGAGCCTCAGTTCTGCAGGAAACTCTGCTGAGACAGGACAGTGCACTGTGAATAAACCGCACCTTATTGATGTCCCAACACTCCTGCTGAGACAGGACAGTGCACTGTCAATAAACCGCACCTTATTGATGTCCCAACACTCCTGCTGAGACAGGACAGTGCACTGTGAATAAACCGCACCTTATTGATGTCCCAACACTCCTGCTGAGACAGAGATCAGTTGCCAGCAGGAACAATGTAACAGTCTTTCCTCACTGACTGCCCATGTGTGTGAAAGATCTGATGCTCTAGGATAGCAAGGAGGGGATACCCATAGCTGACTGTGCAGAGGACTCTCATCCAGCATCTTTCCTCAGAATGACTCGGGGTTGATAAAAACTAAAACATTCTCTTTTTCCTCACCCTTTCAGCCCATGTCTGTCCGTCTTTCTCTTTTTCCAAATCCAGCAAAATCTTGACATTTTCTCTCTCTTTCGATTGTCTGTGACAGATCCCATTTACTTCCAACGCCAGCTGTCATCGACCATTTGATGAAGAGCAAAGATGGTAATTTGCTATTCATTATTTACAAATCACTGCGCTGTGAAAAGCGCCTTTTGTTTTGCCCCAGCCTCAAAAAACAATTACAGTCGGCTTGCGTTTCTGCTGTGATTGCATTGCATATTTCATGGCAATGCTTCGTTGATGGTGAAATTGAAAAGCAGATTTACTTTTCACAGTCAATGAAAGGAGCTGGAAGGTCTTTTAAATCAGTCCAAACCCAACTTCCCAGGTCACACATGTCATCTCTCCACAACTGGTTATTCACATGGTAGTTCATTTCCTTTAACGGATGCTGATTGTAATTCATCTAGTAATAATTCAAAAACATCTCCAAATTAAAGAGGCTCAAAGTTGATTTCAGAGTATAAGACATAGATTTTGTGGACACACTAAAAGATTGATTGAGATGGTGAGTCAGAATCAGTTTTATTGGCCGGGTATGAGTACACATACCAGCAGTTTGACTCTGCATATATTTGCATATATTTATCTTATTATACACAGAAATACTGCAAAAACTAGGACAAAAAGGACATACATAAACATTTAGCTATTATGTGTATACCAGTGGGTGAAAGAAGATAAATGTATACAAAACTGTGTCTATACACTGTGTGTGTGTGTGTGTGTGTATATATAATATACTGTATATATACACACACACACACAGTTATGTATACATTAATACATAACGAGTGGACCTATACAGTATATGCATGTATACATCAGTCAGTGCACTATATTCAGTATTATGTCGGCTTAGATTTTTATTTGGCAGTGATATGTCACAAAAGACAATAAAATATTAAATATCTAGTGCCATTTAACGCATGTTAAATGTTCATCAGAGTGACGGCCTATGGGAAGAAACCGGTTATTTTGGCGTACCGTGCTCTGTAGCGCCCACCAGAAGGGAGAAGTTGTAACAGGTTGTGTCCGGGGTGTGAAGGGTCTGCGGTGATGTGACCAGTTCGGAATGGAGGGAAGGTTGCCGCTTGATTTTTCGCTGCAGTCCTGACTGTCCGTTGTCATCTCTTCCGGTCCTTTCTGGAGGCTGATCCAAGGCACACAGTGATGGATGTACAGATAACAGACTGGATTTTTGCAGTCTGTTTATTGTGTGACAAAAAGGTCCCAAACCCGAGACCAGTGTTATTGTATGTGCCTTGGCTAACAGACCCTAAAGAACTAAATCCTTATCCCTGCAGCAGTCTGGAGGAGGTTTAATCTTGGGGAAATGGATTTTTGACACTCTCAGAGACTTTTTGGTCAGCCCACGTGACAAAGAGGTAATTCTCTAGCGGTGGCCATCCAGAGACCCAAATATAACCATAGTGTTACACTGCTGGCTACTGACCTTGTAATTAGGGGGTAGCATGTCTGGGCCAGATCTTGTGTGCTGCGACTGAGCTCTGAGCCCTGTGTGTTTCACTAGACAAGACTACTCGCTAGACTACATCAGAACAAGACATCTAAGCTGTGGATAAATCCTGAGCCATCGTACAAACGTAATGTTCTTTTATGGGACTGGATAGCGTTCAGCATGTCCCATCAGACCTACAGACCTTTTCTGGTGTCTTTGACCCAACTATTTAATTCTCTTCTTTTTTAATTAAGTCAGATTTCACTTGAAGGTTATTTTGGATTTACACATTGACAGCTTCTATTTTACCTATATATCTGTATTGTACTATTACCTACACATAGTACACAGCTGACACTGACTGGATTTCTGAGGTTCAAATGTAAATAGGATTAAATTTTGCTGAGATTAAATGACTACACCCATCCTTGATGTGGGTAATTTATGGCCGTATTTAACATATGAAAAGCCAAACAGCTACAGTACATTGTTGTCCATCTTCTCCCCAATTTGTTCTTTGACACTGGGCTATTCAACATCTTAAATAGCATAGCAACAGCTCTGCTGCAACAATGCATTTTGGCGCAGTGCTCCCCTATCTCAATAAATTCAGCAGAGAAGGCATAAAGAGACGAGGCTTCTTGTATGAATTCAATTAGACGAGCTGACTCTCGTCTTTTCTTCGCATTCTGCATCTCTCATTACCACTGAGCTGCTGTCTTCGTCTGTTTTAAGAAAACTGGCCAGAATCCACAGTAAAGTCTGTTCGGCCTTATGCTTGAATTTAAGTGAGATCTCCCCAAAGCTGCAAGCAGAGTATCATGGATGATAGCGGATGAGGTTTGGATTTTCTCGAATTTAAGCATTTGCTGATTCTGCATTCGTTCTCTTATCACTATTCAACTCTTCAGCTACTTTCACTGCTATCTGAGATGGAAAAAAGCTTAACTTTTGACTTAATTATACGCCTTGTAATCTGAGAACTGAGGACACAAACTCAATGGATTTCAAAAAATAGAGACACAGCTTATTGGCTATAAATAGGCTGAGCTGTAGCTTACTGCACACTATGAAATATCAGCAATATGCACTTTGTGCTTGTGTTGGAGGACGACAGTCATAATACAAATGTTCTGCAATAGCAAAAAATGTGTGTGCTCGCTTAATTTCAATAGTATCAATAACACGTTAATAAAAAGCTTTTTTCCCACTTCAAAAGACCCTTTATATCTTGAATTGACACATAACAAACTGTAAGTTCTCTCGTACCTAGTTTAAGCAAATAATCAACATAATTCTGAAAAATTCAATGTTCACCGGTAAGAATACAGTATTAAAAATACCTTGATGTGTGCTTCCCCCTAGTGGTCAGAATGGCACTAGAGTATCATCCTGTCTGCTGGCACACTTGGTCTAATTACAGTAGATTTGCTGTTACACAACCCAGACAGAGCAGAGACAGAACTCAGATGTATCCTTTCCTGAACCGCATGATGCTATATCTTGTATTACTTATGGTAAATAGGACCTCTAATGAGAGCTATTCTTTACTACATAAATATTTTTTTATTTTGTGTTTTATCTTATTTAGCAAAATGGGAAAACAAACAGCATTTCGTTGCGCAACCCTATTGTACAATGACAAACGTACTTTGTAGAGAATAGTATTGAATGTGAGTATGTCCACTTGTTTGCCGACTGTCAAAAACTGCTGCCATCCTGACTCTAAGACTGGATGAATATCTCCTTGTGTACGACAACAATTATGCATATATTTGTCTACTTAGTATGTGCCCATAATGGCAACTCTACTATTTTTCTGGGACGCACACATCACAGACGCTGACAGCATTGGTGGTAGGAGGCCATGGGCAGTGATTTCTGTACGTGCAGCACATATACAACCAGTTTATCCTGTAAAGTCATCATATTCCTTACCGTCACAGAAAGGCTGCAAGAAAAAGTTGTTGCAAAATGATTATGCTCATTTCTTAATTTGCCTTGGCTTATTTGACTGACTACTTTAAATCTGCATTCATGAAGACAGATCACAATAAAACTTGAAGTGTCTTTAAGTTAATTGGCTCTTTTGTCAGATTGTTGAGACTCTTTGCGATTAAAGCCAATGACGATGCACCTATTTTAACAGAAACTGATGTGTAAATAAAGGGGAAAGTTCATCATTCAGTTATACTAGCAGGTTCAACATTAGTGAATTAGTAATAATGTTTTAATATTTTAACTTGTCCGTCCAGCAAATGCTATTTATAGATTGAATCGTTTAGTTATGTGCCTGGAAGGTTTAACTGCAGGTTTCAAGGGCCTGGGTTCAAATGTGTCCAACACAGCAATTATCCACCTTTGTTTGTTGAAATCTATAAAGTAGTGTAGTTTAATTTCTATCTGTAAAAAGACTGAATCAAAGCATGACGTCAAACTATCCAAATACCAGAATACACTAAGAAGTAGCAAGTAAGTTTATTTAGTGCCGATTCCTAATCCGCTCAGCCGTACTACGTTTCCGTGAGTTGAAAGTCGATGTGGTGCCATCAAAAAAAGATGCTACGAGATGTCGCCAACACAATTAAAAAGTAAACGCCAGCCCTTCAATGCCCCACAACAGTATTACAGATCATGTAACAATAATATTACACAAACTGTCTTCAACATTCAGAATAACTCAAGCAAGCATGAACTAAAAAGATACACTTTATTTGAAACCAGCAGGGGACATTTTTGTACAAAAATACACAACTGTTACGTAGGTGCTCGTGTCAAGAATTGTTCTTCTTTCTCCTGCTGCTGCTGCTGCTTACACCACTGATGCTTCTATGCATGCAGCACCAACGTGGGACAAGCGTTAACTTGCTCAGACAAAAGTAAATAGAAATCCAACAAGCGATGTCATTTGCCAAGGGGAAGAATGTAGGATCCTAGATTCTTGAGGCTAGATAAAAATGACCGTTCTTATAAATATCAGGGAGAATGCTAAACATGGGATGTTATTGAAGCACTGAGTTGAATTTGTCTCCCGACTTCATTCTGTACTCGGACTTGGTGGCTTCTTTTCTTCTTTCCCTCCTCCAGCCGACTTTTGCTGCTTCTGTTGCATTATCTCGGCATCCCTTGGGGAGAGAGGGACATTTAAAGAGAGAATAGACTTTGGTGGGACAGATTCTACTGTACAACACACTTTGTTTTGATGCTGCAAAAATCAAGTATTTCGTGAGCATCCCATTTCCTCATTGTCACGCAGAGCTGTGTTTACCTCTGCTTCCGAGCAGCAGCAGAGAGCCCATCGTCGCCCCTCTTCCCTCTACCACTGTCAGTACTTTTTTTGGCATTCTTCGCACGGGCGAGCTCACGTTGGTTTCCTCCTGTATGACAGACAACAGGGTGGAAGAAAAACAAATGAACAGAATAAATGCCATTTAAATGAGCAACTCATCGGGAATGTGAGCTACACCCTTAAAAAAACACCTCCATTACTCAACAGCAAAAATAACAAAAACAAATGTCACGCCTTTATAAAGACATCAAGTGTCTACAAAACATGATTTAAAGTGACACACAGTTTACATTGTACGACTGTATGATGGAAGGAATGAAAATGGTGCAAACCCCCCCCCCCCCCCCAAAAAAAAAAAAAAAGCAGCCGACGTGGCAGAGAGGCGCTGGAGAGCAGCTTCATGCCTGAACAACAGTACAGAGTGCAGCAAAGCCTCTTCCACCGTGTTACGGATCGACGAACCACTCTAATAATCAAAGACAAGCAACGAAGGCAGAGTCACGTATTTGTAAATACAAAATAAAAATAAAAAGATTCTGTCTGCTACGAGCCGCGTTGCTACACAGATATCCGTGTTACGTCTCTGGTAACTATTCATTGACAGTGGGCCGAGGCCCACACTAACAGCTGGCACATCGTTGTTGACAAACGTTCAACGCACATAATGTAACGTTCAGACACAGATATGTGACATTAACATGAGCCCATCTACTCCTTTACACCCTACAAAGAACGCACGTCCATCGGTGTGCGTGATTCATAAACCAAGGGTGACAACACTGGCATGAATTCCGTGAAATAAGTTACGTTCTTCTTCAGCAAATAGACGGAGCCCGGGTCGGCGGTGGCCATGGCTAATGCCCGGTAGAAAACAACGCGCACAGACTACATGCAACCCAACAAAGTACACGGAGGCCTTACAGTCAAAATATATGTGGATACCCACTGGTCATTTTAGTAACCGCCGCTTCTTTCGTCCAAATAGTTCAGCTCAGCCAAAGGGCAGTCGGTTCCCTTCTCGTCGCTCCAGTCGCTGTTTCGTTGCGCCTCTGAGGCTGCCGAGTATGCGCGAGACTTCCGTGCGAGAACCAGAACGTTACGTCTCTCTCCCAGATTGCACGGCGCATGCGCGAGGCAATCGTAAATTTAATACTACGAAAGCGATTGCGGCACAATAATAAAGACTAAATCATTAAAATCCTTTATAAGAGTAGGAATAGCACAATCAGTATACAACTTTTTAGATGGAAAGGCATGTGTTTAAAAAATGAATTAAGTATACCGTGATGTAATATTAATAAGTTATTTTACACAAATAAATACATAATGATTGATACATTTTACATACTGTCAAATCTGCTCAAAGACTACTTTTATGCAGCGGAGAAAGGTTATGGCTGTAACTGCGGTCATAATTACAATTTCATAATTGATTTCTTAGTTTGTTTAGCATCTGTAGTTTATTTTGTAGTGTTCTATGGCTCCAGCAATCACACAAAGAAGGTTTGTCAAACTGTTATCTAGCCTACTGAATCCGAGGCTTTGATTGAAGGACATGAAGCCTGGCACTGTCGTGGAGTGGCTTTTCATCTCCTCCTCCGTCATCCTGGGTGGGAGACACGTATAGAGAGACGCATGGAGGCCTACATGCCTTGTATCGTGTAAAACAGTATTCCGATTCATTTGATTCGCGTTCAATTTGTTGCATTTAGTGTACATAGATGCCCATGGGTGTCTCTTCTGTTACTGACAAACATTTGGCAAAATTTACTTTTGCAGATACTAAATCTGCATTTACATTTGTAATGCAGATTCAATAAACTCCATTCAATGAGACATCCACTTAAATCACAATTCACAGCTATCTTCTTAAAAACTTACTGCAAAAGGGCCAGCAGGTGGCAGACCAAGCCAAAGTAAATTTAGAAATGAAGGCACTCAAGCTGCCATCTCCGTTGGCATTCTTCACACAGAAGCTATAGGACTACCAATCATTTCAAAAGTATGTCATAATGAAAGTATAAAATACTAGAATAGATAGATTACATGCAAAATAACTGATGATCAGCGCAATCAAGTGTGTTTCATTGTTGTATATTACACCAGACGAAACTCACACCGGTAGAAACCAGAGTAACTGATTTTCTTACTGTTAAATACAAAATGCTTAGACAATTAACATAAATGTTTACAAAAATGTGTTCAAAGCACCACAGTATAATTCCAGTGATAATATTGAAGTATTGCCTTGCCCTGGGTTATTGTGTGAAATGGAATGTTGTTAATTGTTTTATTTCGGTTCTACAATAAGAACCGCATGATGTTTTCCTTGCAGTTTTGGTACAGTGATTTTATGGACCGTCTGGCAATTAAATCTGCTCGATGACTGACTCATGTCTGAAATACTACCCAGACACTGAAACTATGAATAGAAGACAACCTCCTGTGTGCCTACTGCACTAGGCCATGCCACAGTCAAACAACTGCATCAGGAGTATTTTCCAAGTCACCACATCTGTTTCATCTGGAGGGAAACTTCTGATTGTCTGCAGCTCCATTTGGTTAAATGACATGAAACAAGATATTTCTCTAATCAACAAAAACATTTAAAAAAATTGTATGATTTAGAGAAGTACTGGAAACATAAGTTCACGGTTGTCGAGATGATAGCAACTATACAGCAATAGAAATCCTAAAACGTGTTCATAGTGGTGGAAGTGAGCCGTAGGAGGAGAATGAAGACAGGGCTGTGTTTCTTTGCTGAAAGAAAAATACTGTATTTTAAGGACATAATTACTGTTTGAATACAATGAGCCATCAAACTACTGCTGTGATTGTCTAGCCAACAGTCTATTTGGGTTAAGAAAAAGGTCTTCTTTGAGTTTAATGATATGCTATAACATTCTTCTGGTCGGCAGCGCTCTGGATATTATTTATTTAAGGATGTTCAGCTAAAAACTTACTTTAAAAGTAAAAATAAAAGTAGAGCCCAGAAACTTTCTGTCATGTTTCTTATCAAAGAGGTCAAAACCATGTATCCTCAAACATAATGAGCAACCAATTATGAATGTCCTTTTGACAGGTGGTCACACATCACTGACAGGAATGCACTATAAACACTGAGCAGAAATGTTTATGTCTGTGCTACGTTCACTGTAGGCTACAAGTGCAGCATATTTTGCAAAACAATTGACCTGACAAAGAGACTGCAGCTCAAACGTCGCTAGCGTTGCTGAAAACATTACCTGCTTTCAATAATTCAACAAATCATGTTCCTTTTTTTTTTTTTTACATTTTTAAGAATTATTCACCAGATATCTAGTTTTTATGAAATATCTTGATGACCCATCCAACAGCTACTTTGTAATGACATATTATGACCATGGACATCTGTGGCATAATCCTTTCCTGATTGCTCTGACTTGTCAGGACATTAATGATTTCCATTACCCATAAACAGTACATTTTATATTCTTGCATACGATTTTATATGGTTTGTTTGACACATTTTCTCTAAGGATTGTAAACAGAACATTACCAAGGATCTATTTCTGTGAAATAGACTCATATTACTCTATTACTAGTTTCAGTCTCTCACAAGGGCTCAGCTATTCCTGACTGCCTTGTGTTTTAGAAATAGAGTGAGAAAGTGAGAACTTTGGTAAAAAGAGGATTGAGGAATGGCTTTCTCATGGCACTTGCGTGCTGGAGCATGACGAATTTAACAGTGTGTAGAACAGCATGTCGAACACTGTGGTCAGTTTATTGGGCTGCTGGCGACACGGCACAGCCCAGGATGTCTGCCTTTGACTTGTTTTCCCCACAGCTGCTTTCAGTGACAGCATCCTGCTTAAAGCTAACTATTTTTGTCTCCATACGCAATTATCGCCACCTGGTCATTTTGACAATGTTGACTGCTTCTGCATTTACAAAGCCTCCGAATGTTAATGCGGCCCTTGTGTGAGCTGCAGCTGCAGCTGCAGTTGTGTCTGAAATTGAATCAAATGGAGATGATGGGGAGGAAAAACTATGTGTTTCATTAATTTCATACTAAATTTAACAGGGAGATTTCATATTAACAGTAAGAGTCTTTGCCCTCTCATTACCTCCAGCACTTTTCTACACTGACTACTTAGTGGCAGACATTCACACGATCACATGGAAGTAAACTGTTCAGTTTGGGCCGACAACATGTGCGTGCATGTTTGACTTTTAAATATGAGGGATAATTATGTCAAGATTCAAAAGCAAGGGGATTTGTTGTTTTAACTGTTATTGTGTTTGGACGGATTTTCTTTTTCAATCCAAACAGGAGATAGATGAAATAGTGGAGTTGTTGAGTGCTTATGATGCGATGACAAGACAACCCTCATTTAATTTCTCCTCCAATATGTGATTGCACCGTCTTCATGAATAGGCTGCACTGTTTGGAGCGGTCTTTGCTGATCATGAAGTGGTTGAGGCACTGATGTGTGGCAGTATAGTGTGACAAGCTGGACGTATGGTGCATTCCTCTCTGTCTCATTTCACCGCTGTCATCCATCACGCTGCCAGAGTCCTGCCTGCTGTCATGAATGATTGATGGGACTTGCGGATCCCGTCTTCTGCATCGCCTTAATGTCCCTTGTGTCCTGATTGTTGGAGCTAATTTTGACATTTGCCCGTGAAATTATTATGCTGTCTGTTTGTTGTTTTGCAAACTACTGTACATTCATTTTTCTTCTCCACTGAAAACCTCTCTTTTCTGACTGTTGTAACTGTAAATGTTTTCAAAGGAGCTGTATTCGTTCTTTACATACATTATTATTTACTGCATTTGCAAAGTAATGTGTTACCTTCCAAAATGTTAAAGCTTTTCACTTCTCAATATTTAGATATATTTAACCATATGAGCATTTAACATGTTCAAAATGAACATTGTCCTGAAAATGTCGATACAAGATGCAATGTACGTAGGTGGTATTACCTTTATATACCTTTAAATATTTCTGTATTCTGTATTGCAAAATACTGTTGAATGTAGTTGAATGGTTAAACAAACCAAGTCTACAGCCATGCTAGCAGTGAGTAGTGAGTCTATAGTTCACAACAGTGCTTTGAGCTAAATACTATCATCAGCAGGTTAAAACTCTCAAAATGACGATGGCTACATGCTGATTTTTAACAGGTATGATGTTGACCATGATCACCATTTTAGTTTAGCGTGTTAGCATGCTGACATTTGCTGGTGGAAATGTCACAAGTTTTGCAGGAATTTGGCCATAAACCAAAGTATGAAACAAAATAAAATGTTGTCCTGATGATGGCAGTAGATTAACATCTGTATCAGTTAAATATAAGAATCATAAGCAAGATAAGAATTAAAAAATGAACATAATCTGAGTTCAAGCAATGCAAAGAGGTTTTCAAATTCGCTGTTTCTTTAGGCCGGTAAAAATGTAAGCAGCTCTCATGGGTATCATCCTCTATATTGTGCAATGCAGGGATTTATTTCAACTGGCCTTTGTTTTCCTCTGCAATGAACATAAAGCTTTTGACAAAAAAACACAGTTTACATTGTGAAAAAGAACATGAAAGTGGGTTAATGTGTTACTTTGTTGTTGTTGAAATGGGGCATGTTTGCATAGAGATTGTCTGATGTATAGGCGCACAGTCTGAGGGGATGGAGTTATTGATTACAAAGAATAATGTCTACAACCTTCAGTTGATCATGTGATCCACTTTTAGCTTTTTAGGCTTTTAGTTAACTCAAGACATAGTCCTTTCCTTTTCTTCTCTTTATGGCTAAGACATGTAGGAAACATCACTGTTAATAATATAAAAATATCCATGTGAACAATATAAGGTAATTGAGTCAGAAACACAAAGAAGCTTTAATTCATCTGTTTCTTGCACTGACTAAAGAGGGAGGTGGAGGAGGGAGGTTTAGGAGCCAGACAAAATGACCTTCCATTCGTCTATAGAATCGTCACTCCCTCTCTCGCCTTATATACTTGAAGCCATTTCAGTAGACCCATTGTTTCCCCTTTTATCTGAGGTCTACCGGCCTGGGACAAAAGAAGACACGTGAGCGTCAAGGTA